ACCCGGAAGATTTTGCAGCCTAAACACACAGGAGAATTGATGGTCCTGCCCGCACCGTTCTCGTTAGAGATGAAGACTTAATGGGCACACACACACAGGTGCCAAACGGGTCTTTTACAGCACCAAATACTAAAACCTTCAGAGGAACTGAGTCCCCGACAGTTTCTGATGATGGCCCAGGCTCTCCCAAGCCCAGGATCCCCTACAAACCTTGGGCAGGGCAGGATGCTGGGCTCCTGGTGATTTTGGGACCTCCCCATGGGGGCTGTTTGGCCTGGCCCAGCAGGAGCCGCTTTGGGCAACCTCCTCGGTCTCCAGCTCCCTTTCCTGATGATCATCTTCTTCCCCTGACTTGGCCATTTGTTTGCAGCAAATTTCACAGGTCCTTCGATAGCTAATAGGAGGTATTTATTTCCATTCCTTGGGTGCTTCAGCTTTAAGTATAGCAATAATTCAATGTTTCTCATTTGGGGGGAATGAAAGATTACCCTTATTTTCAGCTCATTTTTTTTGTGTTTTATTTCTCTCTCTCCCTTTTTTATTGAGCTCTGAACATTAATAATCAGCCCTCATTAACTCAGTTAATTCTTCAAATCCTCATATTCTTCATGCCCAGCACTATAAAGCCAAAGAGGAGACTAATGAAAGCTGAAGAGATGGTTAGAGTTATTAAAAATCAATTTTTTTTTTATTTGGTAACCCTGGGGTGTTAATATTCTCATCTCACATCTTCCCAGTGTCATTCTTCCCAGAGGAACTCTGGGCTTTGTGGATTTGCAAGGCACAAAGACCTCTGCCAAGTCTGCGGGAGCCCTTTAGTTTTGAGGCGTTAAGGTCCCACCTGAGTCACCTTCCAGGGCTTCTCCTGGGGGACTGCTGATGTCTCTGGAGCTCAGGAAGGGAAAAAAGGGTTTTGCAGAGCAGAAAACTGTCACACGTTATTGTCCATCCTCCCTGCAGGGCTTTTCACTGCATTCAGCACAGGGGAAGGCAGGGAGAGGCTCTGCTGCCACAGCCAGCTCTGGCACAGAGGCAGCCGGGGCTCCTGCCTCTCATTTCAGGAGATTAGCAGTAATGGAAAATGCAGAACATTAAACACCGCAGAGATTGCACTGCGGAGGAGGGCTGGCAAATAGAGCTGTCCCAATGCAAGGGTGTGCAAAGGGGGTCACGAAGCTGAGTTTACTTCAAGATTAAGAAGCAAGAGAAATGTTTTCCGGGTTTTGCAACCATTCATTCCTGTCTTGTTTTCGATATGACTTCATTCCCCGAGCGTGCCTTTCCTTCTGGCAGCACCTTTAATTTATGAACGCATATGCGTGCCCTTTGGTCACCTGTCCTAATAACTTATCCTTCCCATTTCCTTTATTGGGGTGAGTCCAAGCATCCCCCTCCAGATCCTGCTCATTAAAACACAGGGGAGGAAAACCAGCAGAGAGGCTCCCAGTTGCCTTTGCAGGGCAAGACAGAGCTGGTTTAGGGGAGAGGGATGAAAAAAGGGATCTGGGAAGCTGGCCACGAACAGCAGGTCTCCAGCTGGTGATCTGCATGGCATCTGCAGAGGCACGCTGCCTGCTCGATCCCTGTTCGTTATCCTCATGTGGAGCCCAGGAGCCATGGCAACCACGGCCAGCTCCCTCTCTCCTCTTTCAGCGATGCTCCTTTAGCTCCGGAGCCCCTTCTCTGCTGAATGGGTGATGCTCTCGTTTGCTAAGGTGGAGAAATGCCCTTTTTCCAGCACCTTCCCCTAACATCGAGCTGGGAACAGCCCTGGAAAAGCAGCCTTATAGAGGGGGCAAGCCACCAGTTCTCCATCCTAATTCCATGGGACAAAAGGCTGGGGGTGCGGGATGCTCCTGCCAGAGCATCCTCGATGCCTCCCATGTCAGATTTCACCGACCAGGGCAGCTCTCGAGGGGATTTCTGTTGTGTATGCTGGCCAGGTTCCTGCGGGATTCGCTTTTAAATCTCCTTTCCAAACAGATAATTAAAACATAATGGTGTTTACATTACAGATGGAGCTGAGAGAAAAATAATAATAGTAATAATAATCATAATAAACACTACTTTGCCACTCGGGAGTTTGTCAAAGGGCTCTTAGAGAGGCTTGGCACACTTTAATGAGTTTAAAGAAGAGGATTTACACTGAACAAACTCACTCAATTGTTCACACACGACTGGTGAGGTGAAGAAGCAGTCAGGAGCGTGCAAGCGGAGCAGCCAGCACTGATTCTGCAGCAGGACAAAAGGAAGAAAATAAAGGAAATGGTATTAAAATCCCATAATTTTTACTGCAGTGGATATGCAGAATGGAACTGCAGCCCTGCAGAGTCCAGAAGCTATTCTAAATTAATGGCTTTGCTTTTCCAGTCCATTCAAACAAGCTCATTTCATGCAAGATAAATTACAGGACCCTGCCACCCTCACTCCCCGAAGAGAGCTTTTTATAATTCACAATGTGTGTGTAAGGGAATGGGCGGCTGGCTTTTCTGACAGATATCCTGTGGCACAATGACCTGCTCTGGAGCTGCGATATTTGATTCACCCAGCGCCAGCTGGAGCAACAAGTCTCAGCAAGAGGGGGAACGGGCCACAAGAAAGCCCCCAGTACAGCCAGCTCAAACAAACCCCTAAGAAATGAGAGACGAGCTACATAAATGTCTTCCAAACTCTAGGTGGCCGCCACAAGCCTTGAGCTGTGGTGCAAAACAAGAAGCATCTGGTAGTGGAGCCCAGAAGAGCAGAGGCAGCTTGAGGGCTGTCTGATCTCAGTGCCATTTGCGAGGGAGATAAAGACAGCCCCAACCTAACAAAGATCCAGTCGCAGTATCCCAGAAATTCCTTTTCTCCCTATTTTCTAGTGTTAAAACTGCTGAGAGGCGATAGCTAACATCCAGGGGACTTTTTCCCTAAGCACGTTCCCGTCCCCCTTCCGCCAACATCTTCTCTGCACTCCTCTGATGTGTTTTTGTCACCCGTTTGGGCCACATAATTACACTCCCTTTTCTTTTGGAAAAAGCTGACACGCAATTATTTTCATGATTAACACTCTTGTGCAGCTAATTGTAATTATACCTTATAATCACAGTTATGATCGTCAATTACTCATCTTTGCCTCATTTCAATGCTTTTCTTTATCGGAGTTTTGGGAAGTTGTCTCGACTGGCTATAGATGCACAACAAACTAGTCCAGCTTCCTAAACTTCAGTTTTTCTCCGTGGGGATTAATTTGAGGCCATAATAAAGGGCAGATCATTGCTGGTGTAAATCAATGCAGCCTCACTGGTGTCAGCACGGCGATGGTGATTTGCAGCAGTTGAGGTGTCAGATATTTTACTAAGAAACCAGTGTCATCTAAGAAAATATATGTGCCTGAGAGTCGTTTTTTATATGGTCTGCACATATTGAGCAATGCATATTTTTTCTTTTTATATCTCTATCCCTTTATATATTTTAGGGAACTAAGAAAAACCTAACCGTCCTGTATACTTGCTCGCTTGCACATTATGCAGCATCTCGAAACACCTTGAAAATACCCAGGAGACTGATTCCCCTCTTGCTCATGCCAACTTTAACGTGATGTAGTTGTCAATTTGAATCAGATGGCTCCTGGTTTACACCCTAGTGCATGTAAACAGCATCAGATGAATATATCAGTTTTACAGGGAGGATAATGGGATAAATTCTAATCCAGGCCACATACAGGAAGCTCGATAGCCAAAGCCACAGAAGATGACTTACAGAATATGATTTCCAGCTCACAGCCTGGTCGGGGTTTTGCTAGGCTTGCTCTAACCCACTGACAGGTGAAAATAGAGCTTTAATTGTAGAGGGTGCCCAGGAGCTCAGCTTCATGACTTAATGAACCTGGACAATGCCAGGTGGGAATACAAAATGGCATAACAGAAAACGCTGATGGAAAACTGTCAGTGTGGTTTCCTTGCTCCATCCTCCTCTGCCCTCTCTGGGCAAGTGCCTTATTTCTGTGCGCTGTGCTGCAGGCTGGCTCTTCCCAGCCAGAGCATGCCCAGCACAGGAGCTGAGCTGCTGCTTTAAAACCTATTCCCCATTCCCGAAGACTTGGATGAATGAATAAGGAGGTGAACTCCCAACCTGGAGATTACTGCTGCATTAATAAAGCAACTGTGAACGAATTGTCTCTGCTGCCTGAGCCAACCAGGATTATTAAACCAGCTCCCTGATTTAATTAGAGTGCTTAAAACTCATGCTAAAAACAAAAATGCAGCTCTCAGCTAGAACCCGAGCTTTGTGCGGGATGGGTCACTGCGAAGGTCAGCTCTTCCCACAGTTTATTCATGGTTATTGAATCAAATGCTAAGGGGGAAGCGGAGGCTGCGCAGAGCTCTTGTCCCCGCGCTGCAGCTCCGGGCGCTGCCTGAGGCCAGCAGACGCTGCAGGTTATTTCTGCCTGCCCAGCAGCTCGTGCGAAATGGCCGGGAGGAATGAGGTCCACATCGGGCTGAAAAAAAAACCGATGCACATGCACCAGAGCTGCCAGCCCCGTTACGAGGCAGACAGAGTGACACAGGTCCGGCTGCCACCACTTGCACCTTGTCCCCGCAGCAGGAGCGGCGCGGCTGGCACTCAATCACCGCGGGCACCTCCTCGCATCAGCAGAAGTTTGTGACACCTGAACTGGCCGTGCAGCTCCTCGGCGGTGCCAATTCAATTAGATGCCCCTTGCCTGAGCAGCAGAACACGGGCCTGAAGTAATGCCTCGTGACTGACCGAGCATTACACGCTATTTAGTCTTTAACTCTGAGGCTGGGTTTGAACTGTGACCACAGGAGAAAAGGCACTGCTGCTTTTTTTTTTTTTTTTTTTTTTTTCTTTTGAAGAAAAGCAATTTTCAGTCTTTGAAGGCTCCATACCTCAGCTGTTTTTTCCTGGCCTCTGCTGCATGTTTTTCCTCATCTGACAAAGGAGCAGCAGCCGGGAGCTCCGGCAGCATCTGCAGACCACCACAAACGATGCTCTGCCCCTCCTGCCCGTGACGGCTCCCCAGCTCAGCCTCTGGAGCTCACCAGCTCTGAGGACACAGCACAAACTCCCTTTAATAATGGCAAGCGTTGATAAGAAGGTGCAGGCGAATTAAGCTTCACAAAAGAAAAGTTAAATGATTCTATTGTTAGCCGAGTAGTTTCTAAATGAACCCATCAAAGTTTGGAAAATTGTTTTAATTGATAGCCAGATTAACAATGAGATAAATAGAGAGATTAGAAGACACCCGTTACACTCAGCTGAGGCTGTAGGCAATTGTCAGCCCCAGCTAATTGTTCAGTTTCACAGTTTTAATGAAGTGCAGCCTCCTGAGCTGAACTGCTCCAGGAGCAGAGCAGAGGACAGCACCCGGAGCCTCCCAGATCCCCTTCCACTGCCCTGCTCCAACTGAGAGACCGGGGCTGGGTGCTGGGCTGGGTGCTGTATGCATGCACCAGAGGAGCTGGGAGGTGCCCAGGCTGCCCTCTGTGCCCAAAAACACTCTGACAGCTCATTTCTCCAGCCATCTTCACAGCACAGCAAGCTCATCACACAGGCTGACTCCGTTAACTGCACAAAATGGGCTGTTCATTCAGGCCAAGGGCTCCATTTGTTCCTGCAACGTTACTTGGAAGAGGAACCGGTATATTTAATTAAGCACCACGTTACGCTAGGCATAGAGGATTAAGCAGCAGGGCAATTTCAGGAGGCTTGATGCTGCGGAGCCAAGAGCAGTGCTGGGGGCTGAGCTAGCTGGGTTTGGACTGCCTGGAAAAAAGGGTTTGTGGCTTTCTGCAAGGTGTTGGGAAGCACAGGGGATGGGTTATCTTGTGAATACTGACGGTGTATCAGTGCAAATAACTCCTCCTTTAATTTTGCTGACAATTAGATAGGTAGCAAGATGTGTTGGGTTTTGGCTATCTGGAAGAGGTTTCCTGTCTGGGATTTTTTTCTCAAAATTCTTATCGCAAACAAAATTTGAAAGACTGGTTTGGGGGACACTGAAAGAGCAGCTGTAACTAGTGAGCTCTGGAGCAATTGCAAGGGCACGGGGGAAAAAAGGTCACTTTTTCCTTTTTAAGCATGTCATCTCCTAGCTTAATTATGTATCTATTTTTAATAAACCCAGCAGAAGCCCTTGCAAGCCACCAGGTTTAGTACCACTTGGTCTTGGGAGCTAGAGCTTTTCCTGGTTTGCCACTGACTTAATAAATAACATCAATCTATATAGCATGCCTGTCCATGTGTCCCCACTTCTACCTGTATAACAAGGATAATGGCAAATGCTCCGAGTTCTAGGCGTAAAATTTACCTCCTCACCATCTTATCTTCCAGCTGCTGAAGGTAAGAAAAGCAAGCACAACTCCGTGGCCCTTCCAGTCCCCAACTGCATGGCGTGTTTTAAAGAGAAGGCACAGCCCAGCGTGCAAATATGCTCCGATACAATAGCTAAATCTTCTCATCTTCCTGCTTGACAGCAATGAAAAATGAAAACAAGTGAGGGTGCCTGGCTTCTCACCCCTGCTCTCAGGGTTGTCTGCACAGCTCCCGTTTGCAAAGCGATGATCATTAAACAGCCACGGTCGGCCCCACGCTGCTCTGGCTTTGCAGTGCTCACAGAGGAATCATCCCGGGGCTCCGAGAGGGGTCACTGGAGTCGTGCTCAGGACCCAGACATTTTAGCAATTGGGAGAGGAAGGCGATGGCAGTGCCCCCCTCTGCAGCTGTGTTTCCTTGCATCCGTTCAGCTTCTAAGGCTGATGGTCAGGCAGAGGACAGAAGCGCAGTTGAGAAAGGATGAAATACAAAAACCTCACAGGAAAAGCTCAAGGGAGCAAGGGGCAGCGGGGAAGGGGAGCTGAGATGCATTGTTATAGCTGACATAACGGGGAGAGAAAAGCAACTTGGAGCTGACAGGGAGGGAGCAAATAGGTAGGGCTCCCACAGCAGAAGAGAATTGCAGATTTGGTTATTGCAGTCGTCTTTGCCAATTTACTACCACGGAAGGTACAAACCTCTGCCTTTCACTGCAAATGAAGATGGACGTGGATGCGCGCTGGCAGGCGGGCTTGCACAGAGGACATTCCTGCACACTAATGTACTCCGAGGAACCCTGAGTTTGTGCTTAATCGGAGGAAAAATACACCAATCCACATATCCTGCTGTTGCTTCAGGTCACCCTGACAAAGCCAGCAGCTGGGGCTCTGGGACCGGGCTGCTGGTGTATTATACCTGCCACTCTTCATTTGTGAGGATGGCAAGAGTTCTGCATTAGCAGGGTAATTCATGAGGCCGTGTTCAGGAGAAGACAGAGGAGATGCAGCGCACGGTAGTAACGCATCTTTGGTATGCATTAAGGGGATTCATCTTATCATCACTGTTCCACAAAGTTTTTAACCATACCCTTAACTTTAAATAGCAAATAAAAATAGAGCCATCAGCAGGAGTCCTTTGTGTATTTATACACACGGTCACGGATCTTTTTATGGAACATCATTTAAAGCGCTGTCATACCAATAAAATGCCTACAAACTACCTAGAGATGAAGCAACGCTGCATTTGCATTTCCTACCTGGCTGTGCCGCTGATTCTTTGAGTCATTTTGCACAGCCTCAATTTTACACAATTTTACACATTCGGTGTGCAGGCACAGAACAGCACAGGTGCGATTGTTTGCCCACAGAACTTGAACCTTGAGAACTGGTGTTCATGTTCCTAAATTCCTCCTCCCCAGGCACTCTCTGCACCAGCGATGATGACCACACAGAGATCAGAAACATCTTCCAAAAAATTCAGGTTGTATTAAGAGCCTTATCCTTAATCCCTCAACTTGAGTTTATTGATAAGAAAATGCCAATTAAGATCCATATTCCCATGCTGGACCCGTAGTCAGAGACTAAGGAGATTATGTGATCATTCTAATTTCCCACCCAAGAATGTTAAATAGTTATAACTTTATCTCATTCACAACAGCCGTGGCCCAGGAGCTCCAGGGTCCTTTTGGCCTATTTGCTGCTACCACTGCAGATGACCCTCGCCCTTCAATCGGGACGAGGCGGGTGGCTTCCCCGTACCTTCCAAGGGAAGATTTCTGCACGGGGAGCGGGCGACGTTTGTTAGCAGTCTGATAAAACCAGAACTGAAGTGCTCCACCTGAGTCCTCATGACAGATCCAAGCATGGATGACAATATTAATGAACAGCTGCCAGCACCAGGAACCATGGCTCTGCTGCCTGATTGCATGAGACAAGAATATAAGCTTACGTTTGCTAAGACTGCAGGAGACAAAGCGTTTTTTTTACACACCTGAATCCACCAGGCACACCTAAAATCAGGGAAGAGCAATAGGACAAATTTGCAGGAGAGACTTCCAACCCACGTGGAGGGCTTGCAGCTGTACGATTTTATGTTTGATACAAATTTATATAAAGTGAGATGACAAATGCAGGTCAGGGGATGTTTTATCATCTTTAACAGCATGGGAGAATACGGATTGAACTGGGAAACCCCACAACGCCTAATTCTTTGTCCTGACAAAACCCAGGTAAAAGAGGGAGGGATTTGGGGATTCAGACCGACTAGCACAGAAGCTCACGAGGCTGCTGATAGCGGCTGGGCAGGGGATGAGATGAGCCTTGTGCTGTTGATTGGTTTAGTGCATCTCCATTAGGTACCTAAAAGCTAGCCGTGAAGGTAACCCATCCGATAACGCTATCGTGTTCCTGTTGTTCTGACATCTTCCATCCCTCTTCATTTTTTTTTTTCCTGTACCCATTAGGCTCCGGTCCTGGATAAGATCTGGAGGGACAGGCTCCTTCTTTAGCTGCTGCTGAAGCCATTAAGCCCCTGCATGAGCTCCTGGAGCTCGCTCCTGGCCGGCGGCCCCGGGCTGCAGCTGCCTCCTGCTGCCCGCGCCTGCAGCACCCGGCAGAGCCGGGCTGGCTTGGCACTAATGCACTATGAAAAGCAGTCATAAAAAATAACAGCTCCAGGCTCTACAGATGTGGGAAAACCGACTCCAGCTTTGGTTATCGCAAGGCATTATTTTTACAGGGACAAAAGAGCGGGGAGCATTTTGTGAACACGCACGCCGACGTTCCCTGGCTGCAGCAGCTTGCAGCCCGGGCAGCGTGAGCCCAAGCTTTCACTTGGTGTTAGGAGGCAATGAACTAACCTTTTCCATTTCATTTCTGCAAACTCCAAACTAATTATCTTTTCATTCTTCTTCCATCCTTTCACTGCCAAGGGAAAGAAATCAGGACAGCACTCCTGGGCTTTCTAGATCTTGCAATATTTATCACCTGAAGCCTTGTTCCCAACAGGAACAGGCAGCACCGAATCTTTTGTGCTTAAATGAAACCAGCCAGGGAGACCAGGACAGACACCGGGAGCATCGTTCTGCAGACAGCCCTGAAGGGAACACAGTGCTTCCATATGGGTAGAGCCAAACCACTAACTAAATATCAGATTTTTTTTTTTTTTTTCCCCTGAGTAGGCACTCAGAAGAGCGAGATGGCTGTAGGAAAAAGATGGAAGAAACAAGAAAAAACATTAAAAAGGGGAAAGATTAAAAAAAAAAAGAAAAAGGAGGTATTAGGGATTAGGATTCAGGCCAGCATTGTCTGCAGCCTTCCAAACCATATGATATATCTAAGGAAGAGGCAGACAGAACATCTGAGCAAAAATTACAGGTGGCTGAATTAATTAGCTCCAAATCCCAACACCCCCAAACATCAGGCGCTGGGATTAAGGACTCAAAGCTAGTTTGCTGCTGAATCCCAAACCTCAGATATTATTTGGATTCAAATTGGAAGTGTTGCAGATGGGTTTGTTTAGGGAAAGAGAGAGCTGTCTCTTCCCATCCTCCCTTCGGCTGAGGCAGAAAGGCACCTTTCTCCTCCCTTATTCATAACACAATATCAGACCAACCGCAGCCTTCCCTACAAGGTCTGTCCTTGGTTCCCATTGATCTGAACGAGCTTTCAGCTCTTCAAACACCCTGGTGCTGCAAGATGGGCTGGGAGAGATTCGTATCATAGCAATGGGAAATTTGACTCTTTCCACCCTCTGTGCCTACGGGACATTATGTGTAAGGAATTTACTGTCCCTAAATGATGATGAAGTCTTATTGTGGGACTAAACAATGGGACCCAATGACAAAATGCACCTGATTTTAGCCTGAAACACTGACAAATTGCCAGTTTCACTTGGTTTTGAGGCAAAGCCCCTAAAAGGTTACCAATAACCATGTACATCCAGATTCAAAGAAGTTAATAAAAACAGTTGATAGGCATCACAAGAACTAGATTCACTTCCTGGTCCCACCACCTACTCCCTGTGTTAAGTCATTTGATCTCTGTATGATTCACATCTGCCTATAAAATGGGAACAATCCTCAGCTGGATAGCGGCAGCATAGGTGGAATGAAGCACTCACGCTGCTGAGATGTTCGGATGTTATCCTCAGCTAGGCTGGGGGAGAATCTGCGTAGGTTGAAAAGTTCATGGATCTTGCGATGAAAATCACCTGCGTCTCCTGCTAAATCAGGTGAGCATCATTATTTGCCAGGACCATCTTGCACAGGTCTAATTATCTGCTGGCAAAAGATGTACAGAGGCATAACTGGCAGTGCGCTTGCTTCATCTGGCTGGTGCCAAACAAGCTGGTAAGTTCAGCACAGCCTGTGTAAAGCATCCAGAAGTAGTACACAGGGAGACAATTAGTGTTCATGTGGCTTTCATAGTGGATGCGATCAGAAGGCTGGAAGATATTTGTGTTTATTACAGCATTGGGTACTCAGTCAGGACTGAAAACAGCCATCGCCGAGATGCTCGCAGGAAAAAGGATTTGATGGACAGAGTTTGAAAAAGCTTGAACAAGGAGAGAAAAAGAGGCAGCTTTGGAACAGTGTAATCACATTGCAGTAAAACACCAAGGATGGCAATTAATTATTGACCATGGATCCCCTTCTTTGTCTTTCCCTTGTTTCCCAGGGCTCTGCAGCTCTCCCAAACAGCACGCCAGAGTTAATCAGGTATTTGCTCCCACCCGGGGAGGCGGCTGCATGTCTCTAATGGACCCGGCACAGCTTGAATGCCATAGCTTCTCATCAGGCCTGGCTTTATATATAATCAGGCACACTTTGCGATCTGCAGGTGGCTCAGCAGGTTGCAACGGATTTTTACTGCTTTTCTGTTCTGCCTTGACCACACATCCATCCCACGGAGCAAGCTGCCAGCGGCACTGGGCAGAGCTTGCCTGGAAGAGGAGCGCTGGTGATGTGCAGCCGAGCTGTGCGCACGCAGGGATGGCAGCTGCCATCTCACCAGGTTGTTCTCAGATCCCTCAGCATCCACGCTGGTACCGAATCCTCTTGGTAAGAAGCACAGGATAAAGGCAGGGTAGTCCTGCATGCAGCTGGCAGAGTGCTTCTTCAGGCTGGGAGCTGACCTGAAGTAATGCCACCGGAGGAGAAAGCCACACGTGGCAGGATGGGGACCAGCCGAATTTCCTGCTGCAACTCTCTGAATCCACCCAAACGTCTGGGAACTTCTGCTCTCGGCGCCACTGCTTGCTGGAGCTGGCATCTGGGACAAGGATCTGTGAGTGTCACCTCCCCCTCCAGCACATCAATGGATTTCCAGTGTTCCTCCTAAAACCAAATGGTGCTTGCATTGCAAGTCACTTCGGTTGGACGGCTCTGCCAACTCTGCTGCAGGTGGTGCCCGTACACTTCCTCCTACATCTTCTCTTGGCACACGAGCGAGCCTTTGGGTTATAAGAAGCTGTCAGGAAAGCAGAGCTGTCGCAGTTTCTTTGACAACAGTCAGATCACGGCAGAGCTTCTCCCTGTTGTCGGCAGCGTTGATCTGAGATCACAAACAAGAAGTTGCCAGAGATTTTTGATCAGCTCCGCTGCATGGCTGGCGTGCGCAGGGTGACAGACCAAGGTGACACGAGGGACAGCATACCAGAGGACCTGCTTTAAGATCTCACTTGCCATACAAGTTCTGAGCACAATTAACGCTGCAGATGTCACCCTGTGAACACAAGCTCGATCCAAAGGCCACCGCAGCCTTGCCCAGATTTCAATCATGGGCTCCTTGTAAATACATTAGCGACATGGAGCTACAAGGCTCTCCGACTTGTAGCCGGCTCAATTACCTCCACGTATCCCTTATTCAAATGGTGCTGAGAGGCAGTGAAGCCCAGGGGTCTATCTGTCTGTCAGTCGTTGTCCATTAGTGGGGACAGCTCTCCCATCTGTCTCTGTTCCCCTCATTACGGGGACAGCAGGTGGCAGAGCGGATGATGGATGGGCAGAGGATGAACCAGAATAGGATCTACTCATCATCCATTCGTGCACCACAGCATGATAGATGGTCATGAGGAGTTTTCAATTTAACCACAGGCTGAGTCACAAAGCCAAATCATGGGTCCTGCAAGGGCCCATCTGCAGGAAAGGGGGAAACTCATCTGTGGCCACTGATGGGCCAGGCACCAGGGAGGGCAGAGCTGGCTCAGGCCTGGAGATGTTGGAAATACAACCAGCCTGCGGGCTGGACACCCACATTTGAGCTTCTCATGGATAGACGTGGCCTTCTGTAGGGAAGAAAATCCTCCATGGCTTTTCCTAGAAAGGCAAAGTAAATCTTGAAGAGGGGAATCCTCCAGGTAGGCTGCAAGAGCTAGAGATTTGTTAGTTACAGCTGTAGGCCACGGACCTAACCCTTCTACTAGGCACCATGCAGGAATTAAATGTTAAAAGCTAAACAGC